TATAATAATTTATAATATTACAAATTGTTTAAAATTCTGCATTACTTGAATCTGGTTAGGTGATATTAAGTGAAAACTATATTTATGAATCAAAAATTGAAAAGCTCAATAAAAAGTCATTTACACCCAATATTTTTTTTTTTTTTTTTTTAAATTGAAATGTTTTTTATGTATATAAAAAAAATTATGTAACGTGGCCCTGTTTAAAAGTATGGTTGACCATAAATGACAAATTAGAAAATAAGAGTGATGACTATTATAAATTTGAATTCAACATTCCTAAAATTAGATTATGGAAAATATTTTCCAACATTTTAAAGATCACAGAGTGCTTAAAATTATATGAAAAACGGTGCTCACAATTCATTTTCTTAAATTATGTTTTAACAGATAAATTCTCCATAGAATAACATTAAAGGTGTTGACAGATTTTATCATCACATGTTAAATCATCTGAGTGACAAGCAATGGTGATAAGCGAATAATCACCCTCATTTTTTTTTTTTTCAAATCAGATTAATTATACTTTAAATCAGCTAATATTCCTCAAATAAAGTTTCAGAAAAGTGTACTGTATTTTTGGAGGATTTTTAAAACTGAGAATTAACTCAAAAAAGCTCAATTTCAATGACTTTACTGAAAGCAATCAAAAAGTTGAGATTCCAATCAATATAATTTCTATTTGAAATACACCAGAGTATTTTTGCTGAATACCAAATTTAATCATTTAGCTTTCAATCAAAGCTAAAATAAAAGCTTCAAGAATGCTTTTTCATTTCTAAAAATTCATTTTAAACCTTAGGTATTGAAAATGAGTGGAGGTACCTACTCAAAAGGGAGCAGAAATTCTAGAAGAACCAAAATTTTGTTCACAGAGAGAGTATTCTCAATGCGGAGGTAGAGAAAATTTTAATTGTATGCCCTTAGCCAAAAATTGGATAACTTAAAATAAAGTAACTGTTAGCAATTTTTTAGAATTGAATAAGGAAATCAATTTTTGTAGGTTCCTGAAAGGGGGGGGGGGTGAAAGAAAAAAAAAAAAAGCAAGAAGAGAAAGGCAAATGGAAAGTAAGGAGAGAGGATGTCATAAAAGTGGGGAGTTTGGCCAAATAAAGACATTGCTCTATTTGCCTTTGACATGTTTTGCTATTTGCATAGAACCAGTCAAGCTAGAATCCCCCGCACAACCTACAGTTTATTGAGAAGCACTTGTGTACATGGAATGCTTCTTTCTACAATTCCTCATAGATAGAACCTTCTAAAGGGGGTGTTGGCGAGTTATGTTCCTCAGCAGTCATCCTAAGATTGCTTAATGTGTGTAACAGTTTAAGGCTCTATTAAATTCTAGCACACACACATATATATATATATATATATATATATATATATATATATATATATATATAGTGTGTGTGCGCATGGGCTGCACACAGTTGAGAACAGAAGCAATAAGTAGGAATTGTCTTCAAGCAAGTTGGTGGGAGGGTAAGCAACCGCGCCTTTTAGGGAAGGGGGACACGCAACCGCGCCTTTAGGGAAGGGGGGGACACGCAACCGCGCCTTTAGGGAAGGGGGGGACACGCAACCGCGCCTTTAGGGAAGGGGGGGACACGCAACCGCGCCTTTTAGGGAAGGGGGGACACGCAACCGCGCCTTTAGGGAAGGGGGGGACACGCAACCGCGCCTTTAGGGAAGAGAAGGGCAACTGCGCCTTTAGTGAATTCAACCGTGCCTTTAGTGAGTAGGGGGCAGGCAACCGTGCCTTTAGAGAAGGGGGGGGGACAGGCAACAGATTCTTTAGAGAAGTCACAGAAGGACCCACATTGTTTGGGAAATGTAGGTGGATTCCACTGCTCTTAGACATGGTGGTGGTGGAGAGAGGGATAGCAAATGCCTGTTACTTCTAATCAGACGTAAGTGATAAAGAGAAGCATTAAGGAGGTCTGTACTTGATTCATCAGATGAGAAATTAGTCTATAGTGTATACATTCTCATTGTTAGTATCCTGCATATATCAGGATGGCATTCAGAGTCACCAAGCAAGACTTAATACAGATATTTATGGAGAAGAGGATAGAAGAAAGAGAAAGAACTTACAAATTCTGGATTTTTTTGAGCCCAAAGAAGGAGCCATCTTTCAAAGTGGTGATGGAATTTCTCTTCAATTTCAATACTTGTAAGTTGTCTAATCCAAGGAATGAGAGGCCTTCAATAATGCTCAGTTTATTCCGTGACATCTCCCTTGAAGAAAAAATTTTTAAAAAATGTGAAACGTCAACAAAGAACAATTTTTTTTTATAGATACATTTATACACTTGTGTGTCATTTTACCAAGCAATTTCCTAAGTAAATGTTCCAGAAATTGATCAAGGCTGGCAAGTATTCACTAGTTTCAAGATTCATAGAGAATTTCATAACTTCATTTATTATTAAAGTGGATATATATGTGTGTGTGTGTGTGTGTGTGTGTGTGTGTGTGTGTGTGTGTGTAATGAAACATTTATAGGTCTGGAAAGTGGAATTTGCAGGTAGAATTCAAATTCTGGTTGTGCGTTTTGTTCACCTCACACTATTGATTCAGGGACTGAACTAATGACCACAAGGTAATTAGATGTATTTAGCCTATGCTTTTAATAACATTTTTTAGTTTTTATTCTAGAGTATAAAAAAAAAAGAAGAAAAAGTGGCAGAATTCATAGCCTTAAATCTGACATTCTTTGCCAAAAAGTTGTCTAATATAAGAGATGCTTGATTGATTTGTTTTTTATGGCTTATCAACCTTATTTACAGCCAGAAAATATTTTTGGATTATAAGAATTTTTCTGGAGAAAATAATGCTTTTACTGATACAAGTATCCTATTTAAACCATTGTAATGGTGGTGGGGAAAGATGAATTCATATGTTTTCGCAAGGGTATTTTTGCACATAAATGAATATAACAAACCCGACTGAAATTGGAACTGCTTTCCAATTCTGAGCGGATATTCCCAAGTGGTCACCTATCTAGGTACTGATCAGGCTTAACATTTGCTTAGCTTCAGTGATTGTACGGGAACCAATGCTTTAATGTGATGTGGCCATAAGCCAAGAAACACTTGAAGGTCAGAGTGTACAATAACCCTAGTGTTGTAATGATAATGGGCATGATGAGGAGACGAGATATTGAATAGATCAGTGTATAATAATGTCATTTCCAAAATCCAGATGAAAATATATAATCTTTTGGAAGTAATTTGTCTTTCAGTGATTATTAACCACAATAAATGTGAAAAACATAAAAATCTTAAATTTAATAACACTTAATGTGGCAAAAATGTAATAAATGATTTTTATTGCTTAGTCTACAGAATTTTTTTTATATCTCCAATAACATTTTGCTAATAATAATAAAAAAAGGATCTAGGATTGCAGCAATAATTGGAGATGCAAATTTGATTTAATCCATGGTTAGCCTTATAGAAAAAGGGCATCTATCTGTAGGATTTGGAGCTATGAATAATGTTTTCTTAATTCTAACAAATTTACTGACTTAACAGCAACACCCTTGGCTTCCATAAAGTCCCTGATGAATAGACTGCTAAAACTCAATTATACCATCAGAAAAATATAATCTAAATAAGGAATGGGAAGGAATTTTCTTGCATTTATAGAAAGGAGGGGGGATTGGGAGAAAAAACAAAAACGATGGTGCACTTACCATCGGTGTGTGTATGTTTTTATATATATATATATATATATATATATATATATATATATATATATAAACAAACATGCACAAATATATACATGCCCAGGGGAGTGCTGAAAAGCTCCTAGCCAGACTAAGAGATTCACTCCCAAATTTTATTTTATTTTTTTTTTTAATTTAGTCAGATTTTAGGAAGTGGGTCGGGAAGAGAATATTTCATCAGCATCCCTCACATATATTAAAGTAAGGATCACTCTGTACAAGGCTCGGGGGCCACTCAAGGTAGAAGGTTACATTAAGGGGTAGTTTATATGGATAGGAGGGGGAAGATAATGGCTGACTCTAGACTTGAAAAGAGGCTATGATTGTAGTGATTGAAGAAACATCCTCTTGGGTTTGCAAGAAGCTGTTTCAGTTGAACTTACTTCTTGCCAATGTAATATGGAGGGAATAAGGGTGGTTTGTTATTATGTAAGTGGCATGATGGGGATCCTAGCTGTGGAGGTCAGACCTGGTGAAACCAGGAGATACAGTTTGTCCAAGCACTTTCCATGGTAGTAGCAATAGAGCAGTGAGAGACTTGCCACATCCCACCTGTGAGAGAGGTCAGAGTGTGGAAAATATTTCTTCTCCAATAAGGACTCTGATTTTGAACCCTATCATGACCAGAAAATAAGGTTTGGTTAGCTCCTGCCTAAATATGGCAACAGTACTCCATTTTTGGACTGATCTGGCTCTTATAAAAGATGGAGGATAGCGTGCGTAGTCAGGTATTTAATGAAGCAGTAGATGGAGCTGATCATTTTACTGCATCTTTGGCAATGGACCATATATAGAAATTCCATTTGAGATAGGGTGTGAGTTTGAGGCTCAATATCCTCTCAAGCCAGGGGCCTCAACAAGGGGATATCTGTACATTGTGGCTGGCTGTAGTTTAATGGAATGTAACCAGTTTGGTTTTAGAGGCATTATATGTAACCAGTCACTGGAAAGTTAGATTGGAAGAGAGGTTAGCTACCAATCTCTGATCAAGACTTTTATAGGTGCACCTGTATGTCACTGTATCATCAGCATAGACGTTTATAAATGATTCTTAGCTAGATCGTTTACACACACAAACACACACACACAGTCCATAAAGACTCTTTACAATTTAAAAAATAAAGTAACTGATGAGATATCTTAATCAGATTTGTTCTATGTACTCATTAGTTATCAAAGTTTTTAATCACATTGTATTTGTGTATTTCAGGTATCCTGTTGATGAAAGAAGTAATGCGAAACAAACCCCTGGCATTTCCAGACAGGTGCATGGGAAGGGATGACCCAATTCCCTGGCCACCTCATTCACCACATATCACTCACCTGGACTTCTTTCTATGAGGTTATGTTAAAGATATTGTGTACTGAACAAAGATATGGGATATTACTTATCTAAAGCCAGAGATCAGTGATGCCATTATGCTACAGCAAACATGGCAAGAAATCAAGTACCGTCTTGATGAGTTTCATCTAACTAATGGTGCCCATATAGAAGTGGATTAAATTAGTTAAAAAAAAGTTTCAATAACTACTCATTTTGTAACAATTTCCACGTATTTGTCTTTTCATTTGCTTATGTAATAATATTTTGAATTGTAAAGAGACATTATGGACACCCTCCCTCTCTCTCTCTCTCTCTATATATATATATATATATGTGTGTGTGTGTGTATTAAATATAGTGATATGAAGAATTAAAGTTAAGTAAAAAGAATATTTTAACTTGTTCTAAATATAAATGTTATGTTTTTAACAAAAGTAACATAATATGAATTTCAAATTTGAAATTTATGATTAGTGTTTCTATTTGGAGGGGGGTATAACTAATAATAATTTCAGTAGATTTATTGAACATCTGACACCGATGAGTGATTTGACACAAAACTCTGGTGTTAGTCAATGATCCTTGTACATTTACTGAATATGTATGTATGTATATATATATATATATATATACGTATTTCTTGTTTCAATGTTCTTCTCAGAGAAACAAACACAGAGGGTGTGGCAGCCAAGAGATTTGGGTGGGAGGGTGAGCAAGTATGAAGAAACACTTTTGCCTCAAATTAGTCTCAGTCAAACATTTGACCACAACTTACCGACCTTCCCAGCAGCTAAAATGGCTGGTTGCACACCCACATGCACACAGCTGCATTTTTGCTGTCTGCTCGGGCAGGCAGCATGATTGACAGACAGGCAAATAATCAGGCAGACAGACAAAGATCACCAACGGAATTGGAAATACCATTTGGCATATTTCGTGGGGGGTTAAAAAAGAAAAAAAAAAAAGAGGTTTTAATCTTTATTCAATCCATTGAATCTTCAGTCAAGCATGGACGGTAGCTATCATTGTATATGATTTCTTATCTACATTATTATTATTACTTTCATTTTATTTCATCACAGGAAATCCTTTTATTTTTCAATACTTTGTTATGTCATTATTTTATGGCATCATTATTGTTTTCTTTTATGTTTGGCCATTATTACTTCCCTTTATATTTTGACATATTATTATTATTATTAATTTTCCAAACCACTGCTTTTGGATGAGGCTTCTGGATATAAAGATTATCATCAAGAATCTTTATAACAAAGAATAACATTAGGGAGAGGAGGAAAAAAGAAATGTTCCTCTTTCCTTCAAAATCCCCAAAATATAAAAAGTGAGAGGGAAGGTAATATATATATATATATATATATATATATATATATATATATATATATATATATATAAGGGTGGGGATACTCACTCAAACAATTCTAACCAAAGGAATCAATTTGAAATCTCTTCCATTAAGACTTTTTTTATGCTTCTTATAGAGATTTAATTAACTCCAAATTGATACAGGAAAAGTTAGCCAAAGTTGAGGGAGATGGAAACAAAGAAACCCCTACTCTACCCAAAAAACATGAAACAACCTGACAAAATGAAAGCCACTGTATACAACATTTTAGAAATCATAAGGGAGAAAGAAGGGGAAAGGTCATGAGGATAACTTAATAAAAAGGACCTACCTCCACAATGCCAAACACTTTCCTACCAAGAGGGAGAAAAAAAAATGCCATTGTGTACACAAGAGAAGCCATCAAGGTTGACAGTTAGAAAAATGCCAATTACAGTAATGTAAATATAAAAGGGAGAAACAAACTGCTTTTCACCCCTCAAAAGACTGACAAGATGATGTCTTTTCTTTTTAATCACTTCACCCCAAACAAGGAATTAAAGCCACTAAGACACAAAAGGTTACCCAGTGTTAGAGAATATAAGAAAAATATACTATTAAGGAGAGGGCAATAAAAAAAACAAGAATTAAGAATACAGAAGACCATGAATTGACATTGCATTTAAATGTTTGAAGGGAATCAAAAAGCTGAAATAGTTCCACAAACAAAAAGTGTGAGAGAAGAAACTGTTAGCATAGAACTTACAGTTACATTGCAACTGTAAAATAACAAGACTTTGCCGTCAACCTAATACCATCCTTAAATTCATAAAGTCTAGGTACCGTAGCAGAAAGAACAATTACCATGAAAGTATTTATAGAAAAGGCACACGAAAGCTATATGAAGGTGAGAAATTGACTGAAGCAAAGATGCCAGGTAAATACCAATAACATTACAGATTCATTGGATTTTATCAAGAATCTTTAAATATATAGTGGGACTATCAGGCAAGATGTGGCTGCAATATTCAAAGCAAGGATAAATAGATGTCTAAATATGCAAGATAGATTATGGCAAGAAAATTGTCTAGTGTGACATACTG